TGGGGGTGGGGGTGGGGGGGGGGCTAATTTCGTGAGCAAATGGAAGAAGGCAATATTTCAGCGCCACGGCTCGTATAGATGGATATCCCTTTGTAGAGACGCTATCAACTGGTCTTTGTCTGCCATCTCCTTACGTAGTCGTTGTACCTCCTTTCTTTGTTCCAAAAAGGCTTCCAGTAGCTGAAATAATGCGCATGTCATGCGTAAAAACTAAGCCAAATTTGCCAAAATTGCGTTCATTCAGCATAAGGCATGAGAACCTTTCAGGCAAGTGATAAATTAGTAGAATGATACTATCGCTTGACGCATAGTATCATTTACTTGTTAGTAAAACAGCTAACACGACGTGTATGCCAATCCTTTTACCAATAGGTTCTCTATTATTCCAATTGTTTAATAGAGTTTGGAGTTAACCTCAATAGGGAGGAATAGAAGTAAAGTTTAGCGTGATTCAGCGCTTGTCTCGAATTCCGTGAACGATGGGTGCTTAAAGCCTCCCTTTTGCTATTTCCTCCGAATCAGTGTTTGGTTTGAAGGCACCTCACTGGGAGTGATTGTGCGATCGTAATAATCAGCACTTCATTGCAGAGGGATATTCTGTCTATCATTCCTTCTGCTGTTCTAATATTTCTTGTGTGTGTGTGTGTGCGAGGTAAGCAAAGACGGATACAATTTTTGTGCTTCTAAAATAGGCAAGCGCACTTGGCGGCAGTCCATAAAAAAGAGAGGCCTCTATAAATATATATATCGCAGAAACTTGATCCAATCTAGGCGGGTCATTCAATAACACTGAGAGCGGAAGTCGATGTTTGACTAAAGGAAGGAGGAGGAGCTAGGTTGGTATGGCAACATGCTAGCTTACCTTCTGATAGTCCTGAGGAAGGTTGCCTATCATATCGCCTTTCTGTGCAACATGAATAGCCTGTGTGGGAGCATAGGCAAATGAGAACACATTAATTATTTTAATTATATGCAGCACATTTGCGTCTGCTTCTGCTACATTTTATCTAATATTTTTACTGCACTGCACTGCACTGCTTTGGTGGTGGTTTATTCACTTGCACAAAGGACATGCTTGACGTGCAACAAGTACGTGAAGAAGGTGCTAATGTGTGTGTGCTATTCAAAAAGGAAGTCAAGAAACAGGGGTCTTACAGATTGTCCGGCGCTTCTGCGATTATCTGAGTCGAAATCTTCCCGTCGGGTTGTGGCGTACTACAGCGAAAAGTTATGAAAGACAACAAATAAAAAACGCATTTTAGTTAGTCGACTTAATTAACAACAGAAAATAAAATGCCAAAAATATTCACAATCGATGGATTGAGTTAATGAGCAAAAAGGTTTTTGGAAAAAAATCTATTGATTAAACACTTTTTTCGTCTTAATTTTACATAAAAATTCAGTTTCAGAATAATTTGCGAGATTTTCCTCTGATGTGGTCAAAATGGATAAAATGTAAAGAATAGTAACCAATGTGATTTCTGAAAAAAATCGTTTTTACTTATTATCGAGCACAACAAATTATTATTTCTTATTCGATGCTATTCTTGTTCTTTCGAGGTTAAAAATAATCCATCAAAAAATTCAACGAATTTCCAAATGTGGAAAAAGTAATTATGTTTTAATTTAATTTAATTCCACGAAAATTCATTCGTATCTATTAACATTTAAAAATTAAAAGAGTGCTTTAGTTAAAGCGTAAATAAACTTGAATCAAAAAATTCCTTAAAAACAGTAGACCTATTTTAAAGATTATTTTAAGGTATGAGATTCAAATGGTAATTTCATATTTGGTTTGTTTATAATTGTACACTTTCTTACCCCTCTTCCAACTGTATGTGAATCGAAATCGCTGGAATTCGAGCTGGTGGCATAATAGGTTCCATTGTGATTAGTCATTCTCCCCAAGGTTCCTCCATTAATTTGCGCGGAGGAGGCAGAGAGTGATCTACTATTCTCTCCTCTACCCGGCACTTCAGCATTCACAGGTCGGGAAAGAGACCTCGAGATGTGCATTGTCGATCCACCGGAGTGACTGTGGTTCAGTGAGGTACTGCTGTTGTGCGCCGAACTGTTATTCTTCAAGGTCATTTCTTCAACCTGGCGAATGATCTCACGTACAGAGGGCAGGGTCTGGTTTTCATCGTCTTCACTCTATTCAATCGATTTATATATATAAAGTGAAAATCAATAGTCCTTAGTTTTGAAATCCCTAGTGAGTTGTTCATTCGCAAATCTTTATTCCCTTAAATTGGCCCATTGATATTAATATTTCTTTGGGAACATCAATTTGTACCCTGCACAGAGAGTTCGTGATCGGATGTTCAAAATTAGTGACTCATTGGTCTTCGGTACTTATTTCTGCATTTTCTTTAAATTCGTCTTTTAAAATTCACCTAAAATATCTCCAAATCGATCAATCAAATAATCCTTTTTTCTTCTTTTTCTTCTTTACTGACTGGGATTTTAACATGCGAATCGTAGAAATTGTCAATGGAAGATTTAAGTGACTCACACTTTAAATATTTAAAGCAATTTAATGAAATATTGATAGGAGTGACGAGAAACACTTACGCGTCTTAAGAACAGTATTCTTCGTTTATGAGCATTTGAAAATTGAAAAATGGGATATTTCGTTGCACAATGAATGTGCATACCTTCTGACTTTAACTCTTGTAACTGGCGCATGATGCGTGGGAATATTTTTGAAATCAGCCTACCGATATCCCAGACGATGAAAAAATTAGACTTTTATTTGGTTTTGCTTTGTTTAGACATTTAGGAAGGGCTGAAAATAAAAGCCTCAGAGGTTTCACCAATCCCACGACGATTCCTTAAAACAAAATTGTCTCGATTCCCTCTGAGTTATTCAATAAAAAAGAAGATAGGCACACATCAGAATAAAAATCCGCAGATGGATTCCAACAGACGTGGTAAAATGGGAGGGAACCATTATTAGAAATCTGAAAGTTCGGATGGAGAACTCCTGGAAGTCTGTTCATGCAAGTCTTGACATGAAATCTCCTAAGTGGAAGAAGAAATAAGCAGAAACGGCGTTACTCACTCGAATAAGCATTCCAGAATGTGAATACGCGTTCAGCATATAACCATTTCAAGTGAGCCCACAGGAGTTCTAAACGTAGCAGGGCTTTAAAAACGAAACATCAATGTGTAAATCTAATGAATATGTATGACATATTTTTCATTGAAGAAATAAATATTTTATGTTGTGTTTCCATATCCTCATTATTGGACCAAAGAAAATTGGAGTTAAGAGCTTTTCTTTTCATGTTGCAACGAGAGAACGTGTGCCTTCTACCTTTCAGTTTTGGATATATGGCTTCGAAGGTCGTGAAGCGCTCCTTTCAGGCAACAAATATTGGTGCTAAATCGTAAATGAGCAATCAAATAAACAGTCACGAAGATAATGCAAATGTACCTTCGCATGAAATGCCAATTTTGTTTATAATAAAAAAAAAGAAACTTGGTCGAGGAAGTTGATTGAGGGCAACGGAGCCCTCCTTAAATATTTTCCACTGGAAAAATCGAATTCCCTCCCCCTCCACCTCCACCTCCACCTCCCCCTCGCCCCCCCCATCCCACCCCACCCCACCCCAGTATTGTTTGCTTCGAGCGAGAGTCAATGGTGACTGGATCTATTTCTCTCGAAATGCGGTGATTTAGTTCATTTGATTATAATACGCGATTCCCTATAAATGGGAGAGTGCTCTATTGGTGATGCAAATGGACATAAAAAATAATAACAATAATTTTAAGTAAGTTATTTAAAATTGTTTTTTTGGCAAATATTCAGCAAACGCTTGTTCTATTATTACTGTTGCCCTCAATAGAGCAAAAAAGTTAAATTTTTAATTTTGAAAAGCCAATTTTGATATCAGCCAATCGAAGATCCTATCTTAGACGCACTGACATTAACATCGCGTCATCACGAAGCCACAGCCTTCGTGAGATTTGTAATCGATATCAAAATTCACAATTCATCCTCTGCTTTACAGCAAATACTTGTTTACGATGAAGAATAGCCGGCCACTGCAACTCATTCGTCTGTGTCAATAGTCGATATTTGTGGCTCACAGCTATAGTGGAGCAAAGACGAGACGGCTAATGTGCTCAACTGTGCTCTCTCTCTCATGGCATGTTTCATGCAGCTATGCCAGTAAATGAAGCATATTTGCCAAAAGGAGAGGTAAAAATCTTCCGAAATGTTGGTGTGGAAGATTTATGCAAACTCAGAGAGTGAAGTGCAGGAATATATTTTGAAATTTGGAACTAAGTGGTTGGATGCTGATCACTTTATTTGATTTTTAAATTCCATTGAATGCTAATATTTGAAATCTCAAGTTTAGCTCCTATTGGCCAGCGCTGCCCCTTTTTTCTGATTATAATCTTCGAAAAACAGCAAAGTGGGATGATATCATCAGTCTTGCAAGAGCATCTTAAACAGAACTCAAATCCCTCAAGTGTCTGGAACTTTTCAAATTGCGCCTCGGAAAGGGCGCCTTCACAATAAATTGTAAGAAGGAATTACAGTTGCCTTGTCTTCTTGTATAAATGATGAGTTTTATTTTAAGTGTACTTCTTGAAAAATTAGAAGATAGGTACTAACGCAATGGCAGTAACGAACCTGCGGACCGTCTACAGACGAGGATGTGGTATTTTTCGGCTGAGTGCTTTGAGGTAGAATGACGTGCTGTGAGCGCACTCGGTCGTCATATGGTGCTCCGCCACCACCTCCTGTCGCGACTCGAAAGACCTGCCGGGGACTTGAAGGTCCATTATTGGTGGGACTCGTCTGTTCACTTCGGCTCCGAACAGCAATCTTCACTGTTCCCGCTTTTCGACCGGATACATAGAATTGGGGCATCATAGAATTCGCTTGCTACAATAGGGCGTAATATTTCAAGGTAGATCACTGGCCAATCTACATGTCATTTTTAATGTCAAAGAACGCTATTAAGTAATCGAAAATCAATATTAAATTAACCCCATTCATAAGGTTGTATATTCATGGTCGATTGTTTAAGGAAAAAATTTTCCATCACAATTACATTAAAAACTGGTTGTTTGAAATAAGGCAAAATTTAGAAATAGGCAAACTTACGAAATGAAGTAAAATTAATAACAGTTTAATGAAATTTAAAAAGATAACATTGATACCTGTTTGATAATGGGTATGGATTACTGGATATTAAACATATTTCATTTACTACCCATGATTTTACCCTGAAGCACATTGAAAATTGTTTGTTTATTTGCAAAATTTTATATGAAAAATTTAAAATTCAGCGAGATTTATTAATAACAAACAATGAGAGCTTGATTAATTAAAACTTAGTTTTTGAACCGATTGTTGGTCACACATATTAGATGACTGCAAACACAAATTAATTACCTGCGATAAAAAGTCTAAAGATAAAACCTTTAACCGTACATTTTTAAACATAAAAACAAAATTTAGGTGAGAATTGTGGATTTTTTATGAAAATAAGTCCGAACGCCAAGGTTTATAAAAAATTAATATTCATGGTAAATAAATGCACATAATAGGTATTTACACTATTCAAAATGAAATTAAATAACAAGAAAGTACATTAAAAATTATTTACTTTGATATGCACTGAACGCAAATAGCATTTAAAGTGAAAAGGAAAAAAAGATTTTCATATAAAAAATGGAACAATTAAGGACGGTTTAATTAACACGGCATTGGATTGTCAGGCCCTAAATCATATTAATATAAAGGCGGTTAAGATGACTCTACATGTGACATTTGGTGGGAAGAAATGCTCTCCTCCTTCGGCACAAATTACTCCTTCCACCCGCCACAAATGTAAGTGATTTTCCACCCACTGTTGCATCCACTCACCCACCTGCTGACAACCCGATTGGCCGGGTGTTTTCCTGCACTCCTGAAGGTCACTCCCTCTTGCCGCCTCCGCTCTTAGACATTGTGTGTCCCGTGCACCATCCCGCCCCCCCTCATTTTTGCCCAACAAAAGATCGGAGGCCTCTCGCCAAAAAAGGCAAATTGCATCTCAAATATCCTCCTGCAATATTATATGTGGTGTGTGTGTGTGTGTTTGACAAGGAAAATGAGATAACAGTTCCAAAATTATCTAATTCAGTCACGGTTTCGAGGACAAATATTAATAGAATCTCTAGCCTTAATTGCGGGTCAATTCAAGTCTTATTTAAGAATACCCTTCCGCGTGTTTATAAAATAGCCTTGCGCTGTGCACTTCTGGGTTTGAATTGAGAGATTGGCTAAATGTGCGTATGCGTTGTGTTTACCACTTATATCAACTTGAATTATGCGTGAAATATTGTGCTTTCCCAAGTTTCCAATTAAATTGTGCTTCAAGGTTAACTTAATTTATTTCTGACAAAAAATAATTACTCAAAGCGGTCATACCTAGGGTAAATCGCTATTGCTGTGGAGGGTAATTTCTGTTGTGAGGCAAATAATATTTCACTTCGAAAAGTAGATCCATTTGCCAACGCAATAATTTGCCACTGTTTCGAATGACAAAATTCGCCTTAACAATTCGGGTTAACTTGACATTTTCAAGTCTGTGTCTATTTTTACCACCAATCTCACGTATTATCTCGTTTTAAAATGCCCGCAATGAACTAAATTAAATTTTAAAAGAAGGATTTAATTATTACCAAGATAATAACAATAATAATAATAATTTGGCTTAAAGTATTAACTATCCAGTTGAATATTTAAGAGGATATTGAATTATTGTCGTCGTAAATGAAAATGTAATTAGAAGGGCTGTTTTAAAATGAAAAAAAACAAGAAGTAAGTTATAAAATCTAAGCTCAGAAACTTTAAATATCCTTCAAATTTTTATATTCACCTCAGTATTTTAAAATTATACTAATTTATCGGAGGGAGATTTATTTACAGTGTGTACTGATACTGACCTGGGATTTTTCCTCATTATAGGTCATGTCAAGCGCGTTGTCAGAGGGGTAGCGTTTCTGATTGATATTTGAGGTGCCGTAGAGAGTTTGCAACCGCCGAAAACTTGGACCTGTTCAGTGAAAAAAATGACTCCTTCAAGAAATTCCAGTCAATTTTATATGGAAAAAAATTGACTCAGTCTTTCATGCAAAGATAGAAGTTATTGAAAATTCCAGTTATCACTCTTCATCTTTTAAATTGAGCAATTCAATTAGCAAGGTATGGTAAATCCAATTTGTTGCCAAAATTATCCAACTTATCCCATATGCAAATACCTTGTTTTCGAGCGTGATCACTGCGTCCTTTTGACCCTAATCTCTGTCTGTCATGACTAGACGAGCTTCCTCATCTTCCTCTAAATATTCTATTTAAGTACACATGCACTCATGTCCTCACTTATCTACTTGCCCGCGTACCTCCCACCTCCCCGTTCTCCTCCAACTCCCTTGAACCCTCAACTTTGTTGTCTTATTTTGCGCTGATGTTAGTTGTCAACTGCATGTTTTATCTTCCTCAATTTGGTTTCGATTCAATTTGGAAACTCCCCGATGAAGTATTTCGCTTTGAGTATAGACAGGCGTGGAATGCACTGCTTCTATTCCGTGTTAAACAAAGGGTCCATTTACCCGGACTTCTGAGCAATAGGAGGCGCCAAGAGCTTGAATAGTCTCGCCCAGTAGCAGACAAGCAATTAGAAAAAACGATGCAGTCGTTCAGGTAACTTTCTGCCAAGGTGAATCGCACAAATGTTGACTAGTTTATCTTATATTTTAAGGTAATTCAGTCAGGCGTGATTTTCAATTTATGATAGTGATTACCTACTAAATCCCATTTATTTTTAAATAAATAAATAAACTGGAACATTTTAATAAGCCCCTGAGTTAAGTCAAGACGAAGGAAATGGCTGCCTAATCCATTACAGACGTTTTCGAACATTCACCTTTGGATTTGCAAACACGAAGATTAAGAAAATATCGTTTCAATAATTTGATACAATTAATACAATTATAATTGATTTTATAATAATGACTAAATTTAAGCGTGATACTATTTTTCCTGTTTAGAAAATGTAAATTTCAAACTAATGTATAATTACATTTACGGCATAAATTTTACAATTTAATTTTTATTTATAACCAGTATCTGAATGACAGAAATGCTAACCCCATACAAATGCTCTAATTTGAGGAAAATCTTAAATTGACGTTGTCGGGACTGAGAGGCAGAATATGTCTAGGAATTTCTGCCATTTATTTAATTATGATAAAATCTGTTAGAATATTCTGGTGATAATAAAAACTTTACCAACTATGTGAATAAAGGATTTTATTTGGTACCGCGTGAAAAATTGCACTTAAAAATTGAGTGCACTCAGTCAGGTTCTCAAATGCCCCCCTAAAAATAATTTTAAATATTCAAAACAGGTAGTAATATACGAAGAGGGAAGGCAAAATGTCAGAATCTCATGACTTCGGTGAATTATGATTAGCATAAAGGGGTGTGCGATAGACTTACCTCCACGTGGTGCACCCTGGGCAACGTATACTCATACGGCAAAAAAGTCTATCAACCGGTAGTTGACTTCTGGCTTCAAACTGCCATCACCTCACTGTATGTCATATTCGGCTACTTCCACAGTACTCACCTCACCTCTTTTCTACCTTTCTACCTTCGTCTTTGAAACACTCTTCTGTTCCCTCCCCACCCCCTCTCGACTTTATTTCACTTTGATGTTCCTTCCCCTC